TAAAAGGATATAATAAAATATACTTATAATCCATTATAATTAATTTATAATTATTTATAATCAATATTTAAAAAAAATTTAATATTTAATCAAATAAAATATATAAATATAAACATAAAAAATATAATATATATAAATACATATTTATTAATATTACCTAGAAGAAAAATATTAATAATATATTATGTATTATGTATGAAATATAAGTGTAAAATTAAAACATAAAAAAATATTAACTTTACATTTAATTGAAAGAAAGGATATATAAAAAATACTTAAATGGATGTTTTATATATAAATAATTATTTATGATATAGATGAATATTAGAATGGATATTAGAAATATTATGTATAAATATTATGCTATATAAACTAATTAAATTTGATTTTAGTTAATGGTTCAATATAGTCATTATAATAAAATAAAATTTTATTTAATGTATTATTCTATGTATTATTAATAGTTAAGATTTCATTTTTAATCTACTAAAAATGGACTGTCACATGCACCTAATCCTGTTGCAACACCACCCTCATTAGCAGTAGCTAACTTTGTTCGTAACATATGACCACTTTGTTTGTTAACATATACATTATTTTCATCTGCTATTATAACACCAAAGATTCCTAATTCAGAAACTAATTCTTGCAATTCAGTATCTATATTAATTTCAGGTCTAACCATATAACTTTTATGAATTGGAGGATGAATTTTATCCATAAGAATCCAAGCTACTCTATCTTGCTTATTTTTTACAGATTCTAAGAAATGTTTTATATCTAATCCATATTTATTATTACAACCTCCTTCCCGTTGAGGTTTTAATACAAAACGATGTGGGTCTGAGATTCCCATTTCTATAGCAGCATCTCCATGTTCATCAAAGTCTAATCCATAAAGTTCTATACAAAATAATATAATATTTCAATTCATATTTCAGTATCATATATTACTAATAAAATAATTCACTTACCAGTGAATATTTCTGTAATCTCTGCACATGTTTTTTCATTTTTTAAAAATCTACTAATTACACCTGGCTTTGCAAGAGTTTGTTGAACTTTTTTAGTTCCTGCTAAATGATACTGAATAGTAGGACATTTAATTGCTAAAGATCTTTCTATTAGTAATCTTACTTCCCATTCTTTTTGTGTGTGATATTGTCCAGGTTCATAACCACACCTGTAATACACTACAGCTACAATATAATTATCTACTATCAATTCTTTCTTGTAGCCCAATTTAGCAGTAGCTGTTAATTGTGTTAAATTTCTACGAATGATTCTGACATTTGGATTTTGTTTTCTAATTTCAAATTCATGAAAACGTTGATCACAAATATTATATGTAATATCTTCAATGACAAACAAAATTACTGCTCTGCAAGAGATAAAATTGAATATTAAAATATGTTAATTAAATTTTTTTTTAAATTTAACTATATATCAAATTCAATTTTTTTTTATTAAAAATATTAATAAGAAACATACTGTTGATTTCCATACATCATCCATGCTTTAATCATACTTGAACATATTATTTGTAATGCATTATTTTCTGGAAGATTTTTTATTTCTTTATGATAACCAAGCTCTTTTAAAACAAACTTATGTAATTCAGTTGAAGCAGGTCCTAACCAACCAAAGCCAGATGCAATTGTATTTATTTCAACTTGTTTCCAACAACAATATATATTCTTATTTTTATCTTTTTCTGGACAAGTTGTATCCAACATTAAGTCTGAACGTAATATACCAAGAGATATTTTTTGTACTGATCCTCCTTCATTGTTTATAATTTTACAAATTTCAAATAATTCTTTAGTAAAATTATCAACTTTAATTGTTTCTTCTAAAGTTTCTTTTAAAAAATTATAATCTTGAGCAACTCTATGTATAAGCATATTTAATATTACTTGAATCTGACAAGCATTTATAAATTCTTTTCTAGGAAATGGAGATGGCATTAGAATAAATGGTGCAAATTGTAGGACATTTCTATTAAAATTTTGTTTAGATCTCATACACATTCCATGCATGAGTGCCCAATCTTTTGTTTTTTCTATTAATTCTTCAATCTCTTTTTTAGATGAAGGTAAACATAATGTTGAATCCATAGTTATTTCTTTCTTAATTTAAATGCTTAAAAAAACTATTCAAATTATAGATTTTAAATTTGAATTATATGAATTTAAATTATTATACATACATACTTATTTACTTCTTGTATTAGGTTTACGACTCATATATTTATGTACGTATGTGATTAATTTATGACCTTTATAGTAGATATATATCATAAATAATTCATCTGTATATAATACTTGGGTCTGATGTTCAAAACTTGTAAATAAATAAAACTGTAAATATTCAAATATTTTTATTTACTTTACATAAATATTTTATATATATAATTTAAATATATTCTGATATAATATCTTTATGCAATTTTATATTTATAAATCTTAAGAATATTATAGAAATACTAATAAAAAATTATAAAATAATTTTAATATAATGAAATATTATATTAAACGGCAACGAAGAATTAAAATATAATTTAAACATAACCTAATATTATCATAACATTTTCTTTTATTCTTTTTCAAGGTTATTAAAATTTAACGAACTAATATTATTATATTTTTTTTTTTTTGTTATTTATACATTATAACAAAGCAATAAGAATTTATAAAGTGTAGATTTTTAATAAATAATACAATATTTTTATATTGTATTATAATAATACAATTTTTTCTAACTTCATTTAAATTTAAATATTCTTTTTTATTATCTGTTATATACATATAATGAAATATTTCAGATAAATATAATAATACATAATAATTCTTATTTTAATGAAAATAACTTTTTAACAAATTAAATTATCTTTTAATAATATCTATCTATCATTCATCTTATTAAATTATTATTTCATGTTATATTTCGTTTTTATATTACATTTAATTTTATATATTACATTTATTTTTATTGCTATTATAATATTTTAATCATTAAGTTTCATAATATTTTGAATCTTATTTATTTTATTTAATATAGTAAAAGTATAATTATATTTACATAAAATAATAAGCATATTATCTAAATAATATAATAATTTATTTATAAGAAAAGAATTAATTTATCAATAATAAATTTATTTATTAATCACTTTTAAAAAATAAATATAATATAAAAAATATTTTTAATATTCAATTT